GCGCGACTGTTGAAATTAAGCGTATCGCAAAGTTATATTCAGAAAGAATGAACCAGTTTTATTTAAGAAAGGACTTGTGTTGCTAAAGTTTCGTCGGAACGAAGTTACGGAAAATTAATTAACAAACGGAGACGTAATAATATGTATATTGGGGGATATTTCTTTAAGTTCCTTTTCTTGTAAACATTTTGCCTATTGTTGTTGTTTTTCCATGTAGTGTATAGTTAAAAGAGTTTTACTTATTATATTTTAGGGAAATATATATACATTTACTTGTGAGTTATTATTACATGGCTTCTTAAAGATTTATGTTATTTTTTTGATTTATGCAAGAGTTTTTTGTTTAATGTAATTCTATACACTTTGTTCTGTAAGAGAGTTTGCTTTGTAATTTTGTCCAGATATCTATTTCATATGTGCCTTTTCTTATTCTTTTGATCGACATGGCCAGGTTATTATGGTGCCTGACTCGCAATCTGCGGGTCGCCGCTTCGAATCCCCATCGCACCAAACATTCTCGTCCTTTAAGCCGTGGAGGTGTTCTAATGTGACGGTCGTTGGTAAAAGAGTAGCCTAAGAGTTGGCGGTGGGTGGTGATGATTAGCTGCCTTCCTTCTAGTCTTTTACTGCTAAATTAGGGGCGGCTAGCGCAGATAACCCTTGTGTAGCTTTGCGCGAAATTCAAAACAAACCAAAATATTTTTATTTTTATAATTCTATTGAAAAGTCATGTTATTTTTCGCATTTTCAATATTGTTTTATATTATTTATTGTTATATGTTAAAATATTTATTATTGTAATATTTTGGTTATTATTGTTTCGAAGTTAAAACGTTTCTTTTGTATTTTTGTTTGATGTTGATTTTTATATTTCCTTTTTAATATTGTTACGACAGCGGAGGTCACGTGACCTAGTAACACGTCATATTCTCGAAGGTTCGTGAATGCACGAGCGTTTACTAGATTTCGGTATTATTGTACATATAAGACGGTCAAGACGTGACGGCAACAATGTAATGTGTAATTGAACTGCGGACAGAGAGACGTCTTGTTGAGTCGAGCACGTGAGACGTTCGTTGTGAATTATAGCGTTTATTATAGCGCGACTGTGGAAATTAAGTGTATTGCAAAGTTGTATTCAGAAAGAATAAACCAGTTTTATTTAAAAAAAGGACTTGTATGGTAAAGTTTCTTCGGAAAGAATTTTTTACGGAAAATTAACTAACGAATGGAGGTGTATGAATATGTTATGCTTTTCTTATGGGGTCTATTTTAACATGTCTTATTTCTTTTGTTAGAGATTGTTTATTATGTATTGTATTGCAATATTGAAATGTAAATAGTGTTTGTTGCGGAGTTTACTTTCTGAATCTTTGGGATGGTTCACTATATGTTTTTATGTAAAATTATTAATCATTACAATTGCATCTTTGTTAAAGGGTATTTTAATGGTTATTGAATTGTTTCTTTCTTAAATGGTTGTGTCGTCTGTGTTGCTATGTAAGTATTTTTACAGCAGTAAGAGAAAATTACAATAATTTCCTGACAGATGGGGTAAATTTAAATGGTTTTAAATCTTATAATTAGGGATGATCAGAACGGCCTGAAAGTAAAGAGATGAGAGAGTGATGAGTCGGAAAATTTATTGTTCATTGATGAAAGCGCTGACATTACCACAATCAAACAGTCATGTGTTGTGATTCGACACTTCAACAAACCATTACAAAAATGATTTCAACTTTTTGGGATTTGTTTACCTTAGAAAGAAGGACTGTTAAGTCATTTTTGTGGCCTTAGTTTCCTTTTTTTAAAGAGACAGGCTTATGTTTTGAAAATGTATTAGAACTAGAACATATGGCTATAAAGTTATGGCTGTAAAAAAATAATTAGCCTACACAAAACTTAGGGAGAACAATGAAAGCCTTGTTCTATCAATTCGTTTGTCACTCAGTGCAGTTGTGTGCAAGTTAGGTCACAGAGATATCACCCCAAACTTTATTATTTTTTTTTTGGTTCCACAATTTTCGTACACATAATTTGCGCGCAGTGCAATTCGATGATAGAAGTATGTTGAAATGTTCGAACTGATCTACAACGAAGACCAGCCTTTGAAAGTTATGCGGCTTTCGAAAAACAGGTGACTCTCCTTCTACAATTGTTGTGTCGGCATTTTGCAGCAGTGGGATAAATTTAACTGCACCTTCAAATCTGTGAAGACACAGAGAGTAATAATCTTTCTCAAATGGTCACAGAAAATGACTTTAGAATATTTGACTCTCTTTGTGTTTTTAAGATCATTGCTTGTGAGAATTATAAAACCTAACTGCTTAACCGTAATCGATTCAGACTTCCTCGATATTAATTTGGATGTCAAAAGTATTCATTTACAGCTTTTTAGCAGTAGACTTTTGATGCACTGCAGTTCAACAAGGCGGAAGCATACCTTAATGAGCAGCAGCTCCTGAACAAGGAAATCTGGTGTAAAGATTTTCTCCTGAAGGTCAGCAAATAGGTTAAAAGGGAGCAACCAAACAACAATAAACTGTGAAAGTCAATGTTATCATTCAGCTCATCCGTGTTTTTTTTTTTTTTCAAAATATAGTTCCCATTATCGTCTTTTTCCTTGTTAAAATAATAAAGGGTGATGTAGGAAAGCTTGACACCCAATACTGTGCAATTAACTTTACTGCCTGGCGAGATATAGAGTATAAGAATGACCTTTAATTCCGGATTGAGGTGTCCAAATAAACTGATGCAAGTGGCGCAAACTACTTTAGGGAATTTGTAGAGTTTGCTCTCACTTTGTTGTCAAAGCCACTAAGCAATGCGGACGTAGAGAGGAACATATGAATATTGTTAAATCAAAGCTGAGAAATTGACTTTATCAGTAAACAGTAACTAATGTGTTATACGTTTATTATGGCTCGAGAAGGCTTGGAATGTATTTTAAGAACTACCAATCAATCAAAGACATGTTACAGCACTTCATAACCAAAGTATAGTCACTAGCAGAGGAAGCACCAGGACAGAATTCAGACCAAGATAACGAGGTGGACATTCTAATGGATTAGGAATAGTGAATACATTTGTTGTATCGAGACAGCATTGGTAAGTGGGCAGACTTTTGTTTTTCTTATGGAGAAACTTAATTTCTGCATTATACACAGGCCATTTTAATACAGTAAATAAATGAAAATATAAACCTGTACGACAGTACCATTATAAGAGCCAACAAAACTATAATTAAAAATAACGTCAAAATGAGTGTATGCATAATGATGGCAAGAAAAAGCTAAACAAAACACCTGTACCGTGTGGTAATATTTTATTGGTAAGTTATTTGTTGCTATTTTGTGTTACTATAGCTTCTTAAAAGAACTGCATTGCTTGATTACTTGTGTTTGATTAAAGAGTGACTTGTTTTGCCTGTTTGGAACTTATTTTGAGAGCCAATAGAGCTTGTTGCTGTTGAAAAATCTGGCAACCTTGGGTCGATACCCGCAGGAGGCAAAATGCTGATAGCCCATTGTGTAACTTCGCGCTTAAAACAAACAAATAAAATGTTCAAATGTACATTAATTCTATTATCAGAATATATAATATTTTGTCTAATTACTTCATCGTCAGAAGCTTTCTCAATTAATAGCGTGTCTGTA